TTGCAGTCTCTGCCTTGGCCCTCACATATTCCTCTCTGAAATCTCCTGCTTGGCTCTTCTGTAAGGACACTTGTCATTAGTTAGTTCCACCTTAATGCAGGATGATCTCATCTCATTATATGAATTTAATTACATTTGCCAAAATCCTTTTTCAAAAATAAGATCACATTTACAGGTTCCTAGTGGACATATTTATTAGGGTCATCATTTAACCCAATTTATCGATAGAAGCAGTGGCATATCATAGGCTGTGCCCCATAGATAGGCAAAATGGGGGAGCATTATTTGTAGAGAGTTCAAAACCAATAATAATACTGATAAAAGGCCGAAACCAGTTTGGCTCATGGATAGAGAATCAGCCTGCGGACTGAAAGGTCCCAGGTTCTGTTCTGGTCAGGGGCATGTACCTTGGTTGCTGGCACATCCCCAGTAGGGGGTGTGCAAGAGGCAGCTGATCGATTATTCTCTTTCACCGATGTTTCTGACTCTCTATCCCTCTCTCTTCCTCTATGTAAAAAATCAATAAAAAATATAAAATTAAAAAAAACTGATTAAAGGTTACTTTGTTTTATTTTGATCATACAGTGGCAATTCTAAACACTATCAAATGATAAACTATTTCTCTCTGGAGGTGTGAACTTCTGCCTTAGCACTGCCCCATATGTACCCCACTGCCCGGAAACAGGATGACTGAGTGAAATAATGTGAAATTTTATAATTGTTATGTTACATATTTTCAACTTATTATATAGAGTACAGGAATATAATCACCAGGTTTATACAAGATAAAAAGATAATATACTAGTAAATAAACAAATCTGGTCATTTAATAGAGAAAAATCTTATTTACAATTTTGCTACTTGTAGAGTTTAACATGTTTCATCTTGTATTGCTTACTTTGTAATTTAGTTTTATAAATTTTTAAAATGTTGTTATCCATACTTTTTCAGGATTTAGAAGTTTTCTTATTAATTTGTAAGCACACTTTCTATATTAAAAGTATATTTTCCTTTTTGGATTGTACGATTTGTCATTGTTCCCTTTTACTTTATTTAGATAACAGATTATAGTTTTTAGAGTGTTTCCTGTATGCTTTCTTCTCTTTATTTATTTTTAAATATGTTTTTATTGATTTCAGAGAAAGGAAGAGAGAGAGAGAGAAACATCAATGATGAGAGAGAGACAACTGCTGCTCCCCACATGACCCACACTGGGGATCAAGCATGGAACTAGGCATGTGCCCTGACCAGGAATCAAACTGGTGACCTCTTGGTGCATGGGGCAATGCTCAATCCACTGAGCCAAACCGGCTGGGCTATGCTTTTCTTTATTACATGCCAGTGTTTGTTTTTAAAAATTCAAGACTCTAGGTATAGGTTTTTATGAGGTTGAAACAAAATCAGATTGTTACAAAAAATAATAGCTCTATGAAAAGTTTCTATAAATGAATATTGACTTTTTAAAAATAAAAATACAGGAAATTAGTTTACTTCCTATATCACATAGGAAATATTACCTGCAAGCCATTAGTGTAGAATCTGAGCTGTATAAGAAAACATCACCCTCAATTACCAGCTCCCATCAATTCCAAGGTTTTGGAAACTCAAAGACCTCAGTGATTTGTCTGAAACTGAGACAAAAATGCAGACCTTTGAACTTATCATCCAGTAATCCTCTAAAACCCCACCTTATCTCTTTTTCTCTTGTCTTATTTGTTAGCCAGATTCCCAAATGCTTTTTTTCTATCAAGCATTTAAATTATTACATTGCTTCTTATCATAAAGACACCATATGTTAAAAATGGGAAAAAGACGAAGAAAATATGAATGTACTCAGAAAGAAAACAATTTAGGACACTTTAGGTTTTGTGGTAGCAGTTAGACAGACATGAGCAGAGCAAGGACCATGGCCATTCACAGGAGGTCACCAGGGTGGAAAGCCCCAGGAGCCTAGCAGAACTAGGAAAACAGGGATCTTGCCCCCAGGATAACCTTTTCTTCCCTTGCATATTGGTGGGGTGGCCATGTGGTTTAGACCCGCTGGTCTTTCAAATCACTGGTCATATGCTTCAGACCTTCCCCTGACCTTTCCTCCCCTCATGTCCCTAGTCATGTGGTAGACACCCTTGGAGAGGAACAAGGGGCCAAAATGTGGCCTCATGTGACTCCCATATAAACCCTTGCATAACTATTCCCTTAGTCCTTGAGTCCTAGGGACAAAACCTAGGTCTCTGTTGTGTTTCAGCTCCAAGCGCAGAAATGCAGCAACACCAGACAAGCAATGCCATGGCTGACATTGGGATGAGCTGCATTGACTAATGACCCCTGCCCTGGTGCAGACCAACCATTGGTGACAATGACCCTGATTGCATATACCTGGAAAGCTGATGAATATTCTATTGAAAGTCTTCCCTAGGACCGCCCCTAAACTCCCTAGCTTCAATAGCTCTTAGGACTGAGGACCCAGCATATCACTCTCTACGCCCACTGGAATGACTGAATGAAAATATATATATTAATGTACTTTGCTTTATTTCTCCATTCCTTTGCCTCTGTAACTTGTAAGGCTCACTTCTTCTCTTTGTGACTTTCTAAATATACTTTTTCTTATAGTTTGAATCTTGGTTCTGAATTCTTTCTTAACCAGAACTCAAGCACCAAGGTTGCTGAATCAAGGTCTAATACCTGGTACTGTTTTCTCCACCTACATTATCATCCACCCATAAAGACAACTACTTTTAAGACTTTTGTGTATACTTTAATACTACTGTGTGTGTGCTCTGTGCATGTGTGTGATCATATAATATTAGGTCTAGTAATAATTAATGTCGTTTTCTAATACCTTTTTTAAATCGAATTTATTTAAACAATACAACAAAATTTAATCAACAATATAGTTGCCGTTGTTTTCTACTACTTGTGCCCAATGCTCAGGAAGCATTTTAATCCCTCTGTTGTAAAATTCTTGTGATTTTGATGCATACAATTCGGTTAATGCATTTTTGAGGCATTCTTCATTTTTAAATTTTTTTCCAAGAAGAAAGTTTTGCAAAGAACAAAAAAAATGGTAATCGGAAGGGGCAATATCAGGAGAATATGCAGGTTGAGGGAGAACTTCCCATTCCAACTGGCACAGTTTTTCAGCAGTGATTCTTGCAGTATGCGGTGTTGCGTTATCTTGGTGAAGAATTACGCCCTTCCGATTAATCAGTGCGGGTTCTTTTTCTCTTAAAGCTTGGGCTAACCTTTCCAATTGGGCACTAGACACTGCACTTGTAATGGTTTGGTTAGATGGTAAAAGTTCATAATGAAGAATTCCTTTAAAATTCCACCAAACACATAACATCACTTTTTTCGCATGCAAGTCAGGTTTTGGCGTGGGCTGCGAAGCCTCATTTTTGTCCAACCATTGAGGCCGCCTTTTCAAATTAACATACAGCACCCATTTTTCATCTCCGGTAACAATTTGCTCTAAAAACGGCAGACGGTTTTGACGAGAGAGGAGCGAACTGCAAATTGTGACTCTTTGATTACGGTTGTTGTCGGTCAACTCATGAGGAACCCATTTTCCAAACTTTTGGACTTTGCCAAGTGCACGCAATTGATTGGAAATTGTTTTTTGTGAACAATTTAAAGTTGTCGCAAGCTCTTGTTGGGTAATTTGAGGATTTTGCACCAAAAGAGCTTGAAGAGCTTCTTGATCAAAATTGGACACACGGCCTCGACCACTCTTGTCATCTAACGAAAAATTTCCCTCGCGAAATTTCTCAAACCAACGCTGGCATTTTCTGGCGCTAACTGTATCTTGACCAAGAGCAATACAGATGTTTTTTGCAGCCTCACTTGCTTTTCTTCCTAATTGGAACTCGTAAAGCATGCAGTGCCGAATATGCTCTTCATCCGCCATCTTCTTAGCCCTAGTTTTGCAACAAAAACTAAACCAAACACAAACTTTTTCAAGCAAAACTTGTTAATTGCACTTCACACGTTCTGTAGATACCACGTGTTTGAAGGTTATGTCAATACAAGTCAACACCAAGCAAGATTTTAAACGAATGTTAAAAACGACATTAAATATTACTAGACCCGATAGTATATATTTTGTTTTTTATCATGGAGGTTTTACAGGGCCAATAGATTTGTTTGTTATTTTAATGGCTGCATAGTTTTCTTTAATATACTTATATTCAAATTCATTTAATGATTTCCCAATTGTATATTTAGTTTAACTCTAATATGTTGTTTTTATGTTGCAATTACAATACTGGGTAGCCTTGAATATCTTTATAAAATTCTTATTAGTACCTTAGGATTATTTACCACAAGTACAGTTTCTTTAGAACGATTTAGGATTTTGAGTTACAGGAAAAGCTTACTTAAAATTTAAAATTTTTTTATTATGAAATAAATATATACCAAATAAAATATTATAAGAGGCCTCCACTTACCTACATCCAAAGCTCATTTCTAAAATGTAGATTTAATCTTACTTCTAGAAGAAATATACAAACCATATGTACCTGTATCTTTAGACAGAGCATTTCTACCTTGGTAAGCTTACTGAGCACCTGCCAAATACTGGTTCCTACGTTCACCTTTTTTGCAGCATATTTTTCTTTTAAATTTACTTTAAAGACTATGTTGAAGAAGCTGAGAATTGGAAGAATTAAGAAGCATAGATTCAATTAGGTGATAGGACCTACATTCCAATCAAGGTGACCAACACAACCCGGTTTTCCCACTATGGCCCTGGTTTTATCCCTGAAAGTCTTGCATTCCAGGGACCCCTTCCTTCCACCAGCAACCCTGGACAGTTGTCAACTCCCAGTCTAAGGCCTTCCCCTTCAGAGTGATTTAAGATGTGACATTCTGGGATATCTTATTTCCAAGGGACTGGAATCTTGAAGATAGTGAATAATTGTTTATTCCTGAGAGAGCATGAGTTATCCTTGATTTTAGAGTGTTTATGCCCACATAACATTGATTGTTTTACTTTTCAGGTCTCTGCATGTGCTCGTGTGCAATGCAGCGGCTTTTGCTCTCCCCTGGAGCCTCACAAAAGATGGCCTGGAGACCACCTTCCAGGTGAATCACTTGGGGCACTTTTACCTGGTCCAGCTCCTTCAGGATGTCTTGTGCCGCTCAGCTCCAGCCCGAGTGGTTGTGGTCTCCTCTGAGTCCCATAGGTGGGTTGGAATTTTATGTTTTGTTCCCTTATCACCTTCTTGCACCAGCTAATATTCTCCCAAGGCTCTCTTTCTGAAAATAATTTTCATTAGTCCTACTCTGAAAAGTGTGATTGCATTCGACCCTGCTTTATTTTTTGAGGTGTTTTTTTTTTTTTTTTTTTTTTTTTTTTTTTTTTTTTTTTTTTTGTGTGTGTGTGTGTGTGTGTGTGTGTGTGTGTGTATGCACGCGTGCACGAGATTGGGGGAGATTATTTGGGGTTTTGAGTTCAGTTATGTAGATTGTTTTTACAACTCTACTTCAAGCCCCTCATTGATTTTTCTTTGAGATGAAATAATAATTGATTAAATCTGAATGCCTGACCTTTATTGATTTGTCATTCAACAACTTCAACATCTCACCAAGAAGAATGTGCAGTTATTCTAGCAGGAGAAACAATGCAATTAAAGACTGCACGATGAAATCCAATTGTTTTATAATGAGAAATTAGGGAATTCAATGCAGACATTAGCTGTGTAATTGTAGGAGGGGAAGTGCTGTAGTTAGAACATATTAGAAATCTGGCCATGCCTCTTTTGGTTAAAATTTCAATTAAAACATCAGATGGCACTTCTTTTCTATCACCATTAGGAGGATATTCAGTTGAGTAAAAAAAAAAAAAGAAAATTTCATCATATTTTCAGCATATTTATTCCTAGAGTTGGATAAACAACTATTTGTCTGAAGAGAAGTACTGGGGAAAGACAAAGGACTTGCCAGGTGAGGCTAGATTTACTGCATGTTAGGGAGATTTTCCTAGTGTGTTTGGGAGCTTTCACTCTTAGCAAAGTAGCTGAAAAAAATAATGTGCAAGTGCCTATTTTCCCCCTTCTTCTCCGCTGTAAGTCCTGAAATGTTTTAGTGACCCAGAATGAAGCTTATTTTTAAAATCATGCTTCCATAAAATGTAACCCCTGGGACTTGTAAGAGAGAGACCAGCCAAGGGTTAGCCTGAACCCTTTATCACTCCCAAACACAGGGGCTTAGGGTCTAAGTGACACGCTGCAGAGAGATTTACTTCTCCCGTTTTAAATTTATGACGGCTGAAATGAAAGGAAAATGCCAGTAATAATCCTCCCCCGTGTTAAAAGACATGGAGCATCTAGTAATTAGGTGGTAACGAAATCTGGACATCCTTATCTTTGCAAATCACACCAGGTTTGTGAAAGAAAGTGGAGTGGCCCCATTAAGGCACGAGGGAGGCCACTGTGGGGGCAGGCGCAGGCGAGCTCTGGAAATAAATCTGCCAGCCCCAGTCATGTGCCAGATGTGGAGGGCACCACGGGATGTGTTTAAATGAGCTGGTATTTAATGGGAGATTAGGTTGAATTGTCAGCTGATCTGTTCCCTTTGTAAATCTGTATCTCGAACGGTATTTCAAGGGATGTCTTTGTTCTCTTCTGAACTGCAGTGTAATTTGTTCCTACCTTGGAGATCTGAATCTTAATTTTATTTGAAAAGTGAATTGGAAGGAAGGGCTTTGACCCATTTTAGTTTATAGACAAGGCTTTCATGAAGTGTGAGAGGAGGCTCACTCCTGTCAGGTCCTTGGTGCTGGTTTTCTGCATTCGGATGGTCCTTTGCACATATTGAAGGGTATTCTCTCAATACGTTAATTCCCCCAATATGGTTTGTTTATTACACAGCACCAGAGAGCCAGTGTGCACACTGGGTGCACAAGCCTGGGAACGCATGCCTGGGAACACATTTGCTCACTGCTCAAGGACTCGGAGCCTTAACCCATGTTGTAAAATGGAATGTTGATATCTAATTACCTCCATAAACCTTGGTGGAATCTCTTCCTTGGAGTCAGGACCCCCTGTTAGGGGAAAAATAAAGTCCTATGTTTGCAGAAAATATTATACCAGACTGCCCCAAGGCAAAATATTTATTAGCCCCCCTGTGTCTCCACTGTATGTTGGTTACTTATCTGGAGTGAATTCAGTTTCTGCATACCTAAAATACATTATATTAAAATGAGAACTTGACTTCTTCACTGTGAAAAAAAAATTTAGATAACAATTTAAATAGGAGGAAAAGCACATTGCTGCCTGAACAAGTCTAAATGGCTACAGCTGTGTGGAGAGCTAAGTTGCCACACACACACACACACACACACACACACACACGGCTTCTGATGTAAATTCTGTCTTATTCTTTGAACGTACTAGCTTTTGTCTACATATAATCCAGACTAATTACTTTAGTTTGGAAATTTAAAAACCTCAGTTAAAAAATAAAATAAAAGGATCAGTGTAAATTGAAATACACACTAGAGTTTTCCTTACATAGCCGATGTTAATGTCCGGAGAGAAAATGTGAGCATGTTTTGGTACTGGTAGGAGGATCATTCTATTAAGACATGATTGTTTGACTTTGTCAGTTTTTCAATTTGAAAATAGAGTAGGCAGCCTTTGAAGAGTTGTTTTACTGCCTCTGGAGCTGAGAGGTGAATACAGTCATTTCTTAGGAAGCCTGTCCGGGCTCAGGGGAATCAGAAGCCTTATCTGCCCTTCCCACTTCCTGTAACGCTGTCAATACAAGCTAATCAGGCCTTAAAAATGGGTGTGCTGCCCAGGAGATCAGCTGGGCAGGAAATCAGGAGTCCACTTATGGGGGAGGGCTGGGTGCAGAGGGTGGGGACCTGATATTTAGCAACTGTGCTTCCTTGAAACCTTGCTTTAACTCGGTTCCATGTAATTTCTCATCATGATGTGTGTGTGTGCGCGTGTGTGTTTCTAGATTTCTAGATAGGGGCCTATGAATGAATGAATTCTCTCTTTTTAGGAATTTAATCAACCCATTATATTCCCCAGCCATGAGGTACTTCTGCATTGTCTTTAAAATCCAAAGCAGGGGACACATTGTGAACATCTGAAAGTGCCAAGTGCCACATTTCTATTCTCTCTAATGAGGAACATAAAGGATCTGACCTAATGGTGAATTTTGCCTTTGCAGCAAAGCTTGAAACAAAGTTTTTTGTTTGTTTGTTTTTTTTTGTCATAAGGGAGACTTGGCCCTTAGTTTGTTCTCTAACTTTGTATTTTAGTTTGTACATTATATGAGGCAACAGGCAAAACGGCTCGCTATCTATCTTTTAAAAATTCACAGTCTAGCTGTGGGACCAGGTGAACAAATGCAGACTGGTGTGGTAATGACAGAGGCAGAATGTGTGGATAAAATACAAAGATGGCATAATTTGCTTTGTTACTGATCTTGCAGGGGGGGCAAGATTATTGAACACTAATACTATCATGGATTGGGACATGCATCTCAGTCCACTTTGTATTTTTTTCAATCTATCCTCCTTTGCTACTTAAGAAATTAGTGTGACAACCGGCAGTGGTAGAGTTAGTTAGGGAGAGCTTCCTGAAGAAATGGCACCTGAGCTGGGTTGTACTAAACAAATATGCTAAGAAGGGTTTCCTGCAATAGGTGAGTGGAGAGGGAAGGATGTTATATTTATCTTATACCTCTTAGATACTGTCTAAATCCTTGATGCACTTTTCTACTCAAGTAGGAAGCATTTCCAGGATATGGCCTATGTCTTGGATCATTGGGTTCTCAACTCAAGAGTCCCTTTTTGTAACAATTCTTCCTTACCACCTTATTATAGTAATTTTCAACCTTTTTCATCCCATGCCACACATAAAGTAATTACTAAAATTCTGCGGCACACCAAACAATACATTTTTTTGTGCATCTGACAAAGAAATCTGTATAATTTGATTTGTTCACGTTGGATGGCTATTGTTGTGTTGTCTGTTGTAATTTTTTTTTAATTTGACAGTTTTAGGGAAAAGAAGTCAATGTCCTGATAAAATAGTCAGCTGTAGTATGTTTTAAAAATTCTTAAAAAAAATATATTTTGTTGATTTTTTTTTTTTACAAAGAGGAAGGGAGAAGAATAGAGAGTTAGAAACATTGATGAGAGAGAAACACCAATCAGCTGCCTCCTGCACACCTCTACTGGGAAATGACTGCAACCAAGGTACATGCCCTTGACCAGAATCGAACCTGGGACCTTTCAGTCTTCAGGCCAATGTTCTATCCACTAAGCCAAACCTGTTAGGGCGTGATTTAAAAATTCTTGCGCCACATTGTTTGAAAATTGCTGCCTCTTTAGAATGTTAAATTATAGTTCAGAAGTAATATAACTTCCATGCATAAATATATTTTAATTTAATATGTTAGTTTACTGTAATATAAAGAAAAAAATTAATGTGAAGCAAATAGCATATGTTTTAACATGAGTACACTTGGGCAGGACTACAGGAAAGGTAAGTATCAGATGTGCATGCCCAGGCATAAGTAACCTTGTGGGGGAGGATATTCACTAATGCAGACTGTGGACAGTCATGTGGCATTCCAAGACTCCAGTGCCACCAGCATTGAGTTAAGCCTCACCCCTGACCCTTCGGCCCTAATCAGGAACTCTGAAAGTGTACTCATTCCTCATTCATACAATTGTTGTACTACCCTCCCAGAAATCCAGTGGGTGTTAAAGCTGTGCACACATGTAAAGTGCAGTTAGGCCCTAGGCTCAGACAATCACACAGACTTTTCAGCTGCATGAATGTCTGGTGTAGCCAGTCCTCATTGAGCGAGATTCCACCTGCCTTGCAGGACAGCTATCATTTATAACCCACACCTCCCACCACCCAGAATCATAATGACAATCAGAAAAAGGCTCCTGTAAATTTTTAAATTTTCTGCTAAGTTTCACTGCCTAAAAGGATTAAACTCAGAAGTCTGGGTTTCTCCCAGTGGTTTGGGGACCTGGGAAGAGATGGCAGCCAACAATGAGTTTCCGAGTCCCATTGCTATATCAGTGATGGTGCTTATGGCCATCAGCTTTGTTGACCTCAGAGCAGCAATGTAATTTAACACTAGCAACTGGATGTCACCTACTGAGTCCTAAAAAAGGGATATTTAATTTCCATTAAAACATGTATTTCTTCTGCCCCTGGGATACTTCTTTTAGTCATAGCTCAACTGAACTGCTCATGTTATAGTAAGAAATGACCAGATTATTTCATCATTTTCATTTTACCTTTTCTTTGTTTCCCACAGCAGTTATCCAGATTCCCCTCATTGTGCTTCTTTATTACTCAGTGCTAATTTAATGAAGTTCTTAGCAATGACGAGTCCCTCATCTAGAAAATTCTTTTGTTATTATCCATGCTTTAATAGGCAGCCTCTACTTTGTTGTTGATTTTTTTTTTTAAAGGAAGAAAGAAAGGAAAGAAACAAACAGCTGGTGTTTAACGACTCCGTCAGACCCAATTATAAAACATCAACTACTTACTGTGATTTGTGTGTATCCATGCTGTGGGTATACTTAAAAACATTAGACCTCGCCAGAACTCGTTTTGGCTTTGTTTATATTTGTCTTTTAAACATATAAGACTATTGATGGCACCTCACCAAGGTTGTAACCCCATTATAATCATTAATTTTTAATCTGGAAAAAGAGTCTTGGAGGCAGCAAGACTCATCTATATATTTACTTGGATGCTCTAGTGAAACTATACAGGACTTCAGTGTTGGCTAAAATAACCCAGGAAAACCCTGTCAAAGGTTAACAATGTGATAGCTTCCTGCTTCCAAAAGCAACAGCCCTTCATGTAAGATGCTTTTCCATTTAATTTAATTATCCCTGAACTTCCTATTGAAAGTTTTGAAAACTATATGGGAGTGGTGGGGGCTGTTTAGCATGTTCAGACTGTTCCCTTTCTGAATTTGGGTCTTCATTAAGCCTGTCTTTGCATCCAGTTGGTTTATATTTTTAAATCACCATTGTCTATTTTTATGGGCAACTTTGTTTCAAGGTTTGCACCATTGGTTTTTCAGTAGTCTTTGTGTAGTTTTGCAGATTTTCAATAAAAATTAAGAAGCTATATCAGCCGTCAGAGCTTGGCTGCTTCATGCCATCTTTTCTATTATTATTATTATTATTATTATTATTATTATTTTTAGATTTACAGATATTAATGATTCCTCAGGAAAGCTAGACTTCAGCCGCCTCTCCCCATCTAAAAATGACTACTGGGCCATGCTGGCTTACAACCGGTCCAAGCTCTGCAACATTCTTTTCTCCAATGAGCTTCATCGCCGCTTGTCCCCAAGAGGGGTCACCTCGAACGCAGTGCATCCAGGAAACATGATGTACTCCTCCCTTCATCGCAACTGGTGGGTGTACACGCTGCTCTTCACCTTGGCCAGGCCTTTCACCAAGTCCATGGTAAGTGAACGGCTTCGTCACCGCAAACCCATTCACTGTGCCTTTCTAAAGGGTCCTTGAGAGACCCAGGCATGCTTTCTTCAGCCTCTCACCTCTTGGAATGATGAGTCTGGTCTTGCTAATCACATCATCAAGCCTATTAAAGCCATTGGAAAGGGCCCTTGAACACATTTCAATCGACTTTCGATTATGTTTGTCTCTCTGAAGGTGTCTCGGAGAGCTGGGTGGGAGATGTGGTCTCTCAGTATTGTGTTAGTGTGGCTAAAAGTCTTGATAGCAATTATTGGTTTTCTTTTGATGTGATTTTATTTATTATTATTCAGAAAGTGCAGTGCTTGGTAACTGTGTTTTGCATTGGTAGGCGAACAACATGGATTTGTGACCATTGTGTTATCAGATGATGTGATTCCTTTATTTCCACTGAGAGTCTGTATCTGATGTTACAGATTCTCTTTTCTTACTGGATATACTCCTCTCCTGGGGTATATTTTGTTGGCTAGAAGTGTGTTTTATTCTTTACTTCCTCAATAATGAATTATTTTGAATGGATCACACTACTGCAGTTAGATTTATCAATGTTCACAAAGGTAACTATGACGTTTTTATGTTTTTAATGCTCATATAAACCATATCTAGAAACTTCGTCTATGAAAGTGTTTTAGTAAAAAATAACTTGAATGAAGAATGCACATTTTATATAATGTATTTGATGTAGTATTTTTCTAATCTGCAGATTTTAATCTGGCTGTTTAGTATAGCTACTGACCACAGATGGCTATTGAGCCCTTGAAAACTGGCTAATATGAATAAAGAACGAACTTCTTAATTCGATTTGATATAATGTAAATAGACGCATGCCTAACAGCCACCCTGTTGGAAAGCACAGCTGAATAAAGTGCCCAGCACACTGCCTGTGGTATGGTAGGTGTGTGGCACTTCTTGCCATGATAGTTGTTATCCTTGTTGTGAATATTACTTTGGTCCTGAACAGTATTTTCCAAAATGTAATTGCTGTCAATGGATACAGGGATCAGGGAACTAAAGAATTCTATAAATTGGGAGTCGGCTGGTGGTTGTCAGAGACTTTTATCCCTGAACTCAACTGCCCGGGAAGAGGGTAATAGGCAAGGCTGGGAGGATGCTCAGCTGGGGAGAGCTTGGTTCTCCAACCTGTACATCTGGTTCCTGCGGAAACCACTGTGTAGTAGACTTTTCATGTTCCCGTCCCAAGTGATCATCTTTTAAATGTCACAAATGCACTTTTTTAGATAAGCCTATTGATTAGGAAGGCTATGAACTATATAGCTAAATTTAGATTCTTAGGAAATTCTAGTAATATCATTATACATGTAGTTATTTGATAGCATTTCTTAGCCATTAGAGCTCCATATGAATAGGTGTATAAGGAGGGTGGGAACTCTGGACTTGTTTGTTGAACTCACAGCCAATCACTCCTCTTTCATAAACATTTAAGACTCTCAGAGGAGAAACTAGCATGAGTGTAGACCTGGGATCACTGTATTTTACTAGTGGGATAGATGGGGCTTATTAGGAAAGTCACTGGTGTTTTTTCCTTCTTTGTGCTGCTTCTGATTGCTTTTATCATGAGAAGACATTTGTTTCCTGGGTGAAGAGTGCACGTTTGCCGTTGTAATGCAAACACGTTTTTGGAAATAAGCCATGCAGTTGCATTCCCATTCCTACCCATGGAAACGTTGAATTCCTATCCCTTCTTGCGCATTTCACTTCAGAGAAAGTGTTTTCCCTTGACACGGGTGTTGCTGAAGTATATATTCCATTGTACAAGGTCAAGGAAATAAGAGCTACAACTCGGCCTTGTGCTTGGAAGCCCTGCATGGGCTTCTCCCCCACAGCCTGCTCCCTGAAGTATTAAACAGCAGTATTGTAATATCAGTGTCCCTTTTTTATTTGCTGTGACTTGCTGTGACTATGGTGATTTTAGTTACAGTAATTAGGTCACCCTTCATGGAGTCAGGCTATTTTAAGTGCCTCTTTAAGGAATATTGTTGCAGATCAGTAATTTTACAATTGGATGTTCTTGTGTAACTTTATTAAATGTAATCTGTCTTTTAAATGTTGCCCTTTTACAGTTATACATTTCTAATTGTTGCTGTAAATGCATTATCACTTTGAAATTAATTAATTTTTCCATTTTGGCCGCCTGCAGTATAATAATCACTAATGAGAAACTCATAGGGATTAATTTTCAGCTCAGCGACCCCCACTGGTAAAGTGTGTTTCTGCCCTCTCTTACTCTTGAGGTCTCAGGGAAAAGACAGAGTCTTGGGGATCCTGGGGAAGTCGTGGGTCCTCCAATTTATGATAAAATAACAATAGTGGAGAAAATGGTAATAGGGTGTTTTTTTTTTTCATGTTTAAAAAAGATGCAGGATTCCTCAACTAGCTGCTATTGAAACATCTTTAAGGAAACTGATGTTTGCTGGCAGCTTTTAAATAATGAAGTCACATACATTGTGTGTGCTGTATTTTTATTTTATGCCTCTTTTTATACAATTAAAATATTCTAAAATTACATTTTGCATATGTATACATGAATATATGTTCTATGTTACTCTACTAGTATAAGATATATTCATGCATTCATATTGCTTTATGAGGTTTAATTCACAAAACCTGGCAATCTGTATTTTCAAGGATAATTTTGGCTAAATACAGTTGTTGCCCAGTGGGATGGCTTTATATTCCTGGCATACTCTCAGTAAGGTGCAACTTAGCAGTGTAAGCTGAGCACAATGATGCTGCCTATATCAGCATATAGATCTTTAGGTATCTCACAACCCTTCTGCAGTGATAGAATTATTATCCTCATTTTGCATTTAGAAGCACAGAGAACTTGCCCAACTTGTTCAAGCAAATGGTATTTCAGCCTTAGAACCTTCGTTATCTATTTCAAGTCCACTTTCTGCATCAGTGCCCCACAGTACCCCTGCCACAGATACCCAGTTGTACAGTTATGCTTTCTTCTTACCATGTTTGAAAGAGCCTTCGTGAAATTAGCCCTCCGCCCTTCCATGTCCCCCCACATAAGCTTCCAGTTCTGGGAAATAACATCCTAGGCCCCAGCAGCCCTGTGCGGATCCATATGTAAATCTGAAGCTGAGTACTATCATGTGCTTCTTAGGGTGTTTTGTGCAACCAAATATTTGTGTTGGCAGGTAACGGTATAAAGAATATCATGTGTTAGGGGAGCAAGAGCTTAGCAGATGTTTTAGGGAGCTACATTTTCAAATCATTTTACATTAAAAAAGAGCTTGAGTTGGTAGAACTTTGGAAAAGATTGGGTTACGTTTCCTGTGGCCACGTAAAGCCAGGCATTGTGCTGAGTTTTAACAGATGTTCAGCAACCCTGTTAATGGATGGGCCTGCAATGCCGGTTCTGTTGCAAAGTTATAAATTAAACTAGAAAAAGCACAAGATGTCATTCTTCTAACCTTCCGGAAAGCCAAGCTGGGTAATTCTGCCCTTGAATAACCTGCTGCAGGGTGATTTATAGTTGGACAATTTAAAACATAATGAAGGAGATAATAGATGTTGATTTGTTCTTTAAATTAGTATTTTAGAAAAATACTCTCCCCTTTAAATACCTGCAGCTAACTACACCCCAGATACTGTCAAGGACAGTTCCCTCCTCCCTTGAATCTCTTGGCACATGGAGTAGAAAGCAGGGACCGTTTTCTGTTGGGAGGAGGAAATACCACTTTCAGAGTAGAAATTTCAGCCTATTCTTGATTAATCTAAATAGTTTGAGACTCTCTAGTGAGGACTGATTCTCTGGCTGCCATGCTCTTGCCCATTTAGAAGTGTTAGAGAAGCAGACTCTGAGGACCCTCGAGGCTGGGCCACACTTGAGCTTTCCTGCAGACCTGCACAGAGGACCTGGTGGCTGGGCTCCTCTCCTTGCTGAGGCCATATCCCTGCAGTCTCAACACCCTTCTTACAGCATTATCATTAGCATTGGTTTTATTAGCCACTGCTCAATTCTGTCCGGAGTTTTACAATTTACAGGGTTTGTTCAATTCAGAGTCCAAGGGATATGGTAGAGCAAAAAGGAGTGAAGGGTTTAGCATCATTAGACCTGTGTTTAAAACTCAGGTTTCCCCTCTTTTTTAGTTTTTAATATTGAAATTATTCAGCCGCTCAGAGGCTCCTTTTCTACTTTACTTGACATGTTTTGGACTGTGAGTTAATTAAGATGCAGTTAAAAGTGGTTGGAATAATGGAGATCTGTTCTTCTTATTGATCCAGGAACCCCAAGGCAGCCAGGGATGCCTTTGGCTCCTGTATTTAGGCAGCTCCTTTGTGATTGTCTTACCTCTTTCCGTTTGTAAAATGGCTGCAGTGCCAGCCATTGTATCCTACAGGATAAGGCCTGAGGATAGGATTAGAGGGATGGGACCCCTCCTCCTATGCTTCTGTCTCAGAATCATCCTCCATGGAAAACTTCCTCTCAGCTCACTGGCCAGGATTGAGTCACTTGTTCATCCTAGGAGCAAGGGAAGCTGAGAAAGTGCATTCCTGGCATCTTGTGTCTCTAGGACAAGATGGGAGATCTGATGGCAAGGAAAAGGGGTGGAATAATAGCTTTGAATTGAATAGGTATGCATATAGTTTTGTCACTGTCAAGTCTGAATATAGAGTTACTGAGAAAGCAAGTGAGGATTGAGTGGAAGGCACCTGGCCTTATCTGGCCCCCTTCCTCTCCACCAGTTTTACCTCGAGCCACTTTCAGCTCCTTTCTCCTTCCCTTGTGAGGCTGTTGAAGCAGACTGTTCTTTAGTCCAGAACACTCCTTTCCTCCACTCTCATTTATGTTCCCTTCGTCCTTCAAAACACAGTGCAAACATTACACCTCAACAGAACATTAGGTCAAGATTAGCTGATATAAGCCAGTACCTGTAATAATATCTGATGTATAAAGCACTCCGTAAACATGTGCTGAATGAGTACAAGAAGAACCT